TCAAGGAAGGTCACAAGGATCAAAGCCTCGGCGATGTAGTATTTGCGGAAAGACCGGGCATACTGCAAGGACCTGTCAAGAGTCAATTGAGGTTAATAGGGAATAGTCTAGCGATTAATTTTAATTGATCAGATATGTTGTGGTGTTTTATTTCTCTTTCTGAGTCTTCACGTGTAGATTGGTGGAGCACTCGCTTGTCTGGAGCACTCGCTTATCATGCACGTTATATTATAAATTATTATATTAATAAAGCTATTTAAATATTATTTAAGATTAAAAAGGTAAATTTTAATAGTTAGCTTTTTATATTAAACCTAATTAAATTAAATATAAGCTAAGACTTTTAGGCTAATTCTACGCTAAATCTAAATAAATTAAATATAAGCTAAGACTTCTAGGTAAAGTATTATAACTATTAACCTTATTTCTATTATTATATTTTAAAACTCTATAAGTAATTCTAAAAAATAGTTATTAAGTCTAGGAAACCTTTAATTAGCTTTAAATAGTCTACTTAAGGTTATAGGTATAAGATATTATTATATTTTAAGAAAAGTATACCCTAAACTTATAAATTTTTTAGCTAACCTTTACCTCTATATCTATAAGTAATTAATATAAATTAATATCCTTTTAAATAAATAAGCTTAATATAGCTTAAGTATATACTTTAAATTATTATAATAATATAAATTTTTTACTAAAAGTAAAATAAAGGTAAATACCTTAAATTAGGCTTAAATAGCTAATAAGACCTTAATTATATATAACTTATAAATATAACTTTTTTTTTTTTTTTTTTCCCTTACTATTAGCCTAATAAGGCTATTAAGCTTTTAACTTTTTATTTAAAGGCTTAAACAATAAGGCCTTTATAGTAGGCCTATATCTTAAAGGTTAAAATTATATAAGGTTTATTTACCTTAATGGTATAATTACTGCCTTAATTAAGTAGTATTAATACTGCCCCTTAATAGTTATATTAGCCTTTTTTCTTTACCTTACTTAAAAGATCTTAAATTAACCTTTAGAACTCTTTTTATAAAAGCCTTTAAATAATTTTTATTTATTAATATATAATTTTTTATATTTATAATAAAAATAATAATTTTTATTTAATTATTAATAAAATTATATTAAGGTAATTAATAAATTTTTTTAAAAAGGCTTTATTTATAGCTTTCTTAAAAAAAAAACTTATTTTTTATAAAAAAAATATTTTATTAGCCTTATTATATAAAGGAAATAAAAAATATATTTAATTAATATTTAATAAACTTTTTCTTTATTATATTAATAGTATTATTAATTATAATTTTAAAAAAAGATATTATATTACTTTAATTAAAGCTATTTATTAACTTAAATAATAAGTATTTAAAAATTATCTTTTTTAAATATAGTTAAATAGCCTATTTTTACCTTAATAACTTATTTAACTATTATTAATTTATTAAAAAAGTATATAAAAGATTTAATTTTAATAGCTTTATTAAATAAATTAAAATTAATAAAAAATATATTAAAATAACTATATAATAATAATAACACTTAATAAAAAAATATATAATATATTTAAAAGAAATATTATACTTAAGAATATTATAATAATTAAAATTTATTAAATTAAAGCTATATATATTAAAATACTTAAGGCTAGTTTTAATAGTTTATATAAAAAGTATAATAATATTTAAGTTCTTAATATTATAGCTAATAAGTATACTATCTTTAAGAATAATAAATATAATATTTTTATTATTATATTAATAATAATAATTTAAGTAAAGAGCTTTATAATAATTAATAAAAAGCTTTTATATAAAAAGAAAATAAAATTAATATTAAGTTTAATAAAATTAAGACTTTATTATAATAAAGTAAAGTACTATATTATATTTTATATATATACTTTTAGGATTTAGAATTCTTATTATACTTACCTTTTTTATTTTATTTATATAAAGTAATAATTTTAATTTCTATTTAAAAAAGAAAAAAATAAAAAATAAAAACTATAAAGTAGTATTAATGCCAAGATCCTTAATTTAGTTATTCTTATAATTAGTAATAGGAGGATTGTAATTAATTACTCGAGATGTAACTGGGGGTGTTGTAGTTATACTAATAGTTATAGCCCAGGTTCTCGGGATTGACCACACCGCGGGAAGTCATGGGATCAGTCTCACTACCGGGCTTCTTGAACGGATCAAGAGCACTGTCGAGGGTCAACCAAGTTCCGCCGGCGACACCGGGGGTTGGACCTTGGCTGTCGACAGAGTTGGTACCTGGGTAACCCTGAATGATGTCAATTGACTGAAGGGCGTTGTTCTTCTTCTGCCACTCATTGAAGACAAGATCGACGAAGCAGTGGTGGAAGAAGAAGATGGGCTAGAACAGATTATGTTAGTCACCTTACTTTGCTGGCAAGGGGTGTTTTAGCTTACATCAAAGGCGGCAGTATCATTCTCACCCATATCGCCATTGGCTCCGGTGTACTGGTTAAAGTCCGCATCGATCTTCTCAAGCTGGAAACCTCCAACGGCCAGATGGATCGAGTTGTACGGGGATTCAGGAGGAACAATGGGAACATAGCCATCTGTACCGGCTCTATTGTCATTCTACTGCTGGGCAGAAGTGGTGTTGGAGAAGAAAGTGTAGTTGGATGCATTCAAGCAAGCTCCGTACTTGTACCTGACATTGGCCTTGATGGTCGTACCCACATCATTGTCGAATGTAACCTTGTTGAGCCAGGTGATAATGTTTCCATTGAGCATCTGATTCGTCTTGGCTATGCCCAAGTCATTGAGTGTGTCGTTGTGGACCTTAGTCTTGGCCCGGTCCTTCTCGGTGCTAACGAGACCTTAGAATGGGTAGCGAACGGTCTGGTAACCAGCGGCCTTGGAGTAATTACCATCAGGGATGGGGGATAGATGATCTGTGATGTTTGCTTGGAACTGGTAAGAGTAAAGCGGATTGGGATCAATGACTTCCTTGTTCTGGCAGGTGTACGTGGGTGTCAGGAAGTATTCTGGGATTCCGTACTTGAGAGACTCTTCCTCCGTCTCATCCCAATATGCCATAGCGACACCGGGAACGATGGACTGGAGAGCCTTCTCAAGATGGTGGAGGTAAGCACGATGCCAGGTAGGAAAGAGAACATTGCCATGGTTACAGTATCCTCCCCACCACTGAGGATTACCCCAACCAGCACCACGGAAAGGCTCGCCATGGTAGCCTGCAATCATAAAAAAGGAGTTGGGGTCAGTAGGGGGAAGTTTCTGGATACCTGCGAACGCTTTGACGAGGTCATCGCGCTCGTTAGCCGGCATGTTCCGGATGTTCTTTCTGGTGACGACTTTGGCCATGATTAATGAGGTGTAAGAAAACCCTGTGTGAAGTGTAATGATTCAAGGTTGAATTGAAGTTGGTTCGAAGGAGACTGAGAAGCTGTGTAATAATATCCGGCCAGAGGGAACCGCGCAACCGATATTTATATCCAAAGCAATCGTACCGCTACCAGTAATGCTGTCCAGGCCTGTCCAGAAGCTCAATAATCTAGACCAGGTCTTCTACTACTATCCTAAGAATGAAGAATGGGAGTGATTCACCGCAATTCGGTACGATAACCCTCATTCGCGTATAAACGGTTCAGCTTTCAGCTTTCAGCCTCTTCCATATCCAAAGTTGATCTAAGCCGTTTAGGGCCAGATCTCGTCCCGTCCCGACTTACCCTCTGTTGAGGCCATGCCTCTTATGGAGTGGCAGAACTGACTAGTGAGATTGGCGCATGCATGTTGAACTGAATTTGGGAATGTGATACACTATCATATACTTTCACGAAATAGAAGGAAGCATGTCTTAAATGTGACATATCTAGGGGGAGGGAAATAAAAACTACCCCTCTACATGTGGAACGCTTACGGATTTTGGTGTTGTTGGGGTCATTTAAGTTTTCTCCCCGAGGGTATGTAGCACCAGAAGTGTGTGTGTATGCAATGTGACAATTTAGGAATGTTTTGAGACAGCCATTCTGCAATAGTCAGGCCACTCACCTCCACCGTACACGCTAGATATCTGTAAATCTACTCATAGTTTTCAGCTTGTCTCAGTCACAGGACTAGCCCGAACTGATGGCCATAGCGCATCTTGGCTTAACGATGTGGTATGTAATCCCAATTTGGTTCTAGGCGGAAACGATATCGGGCCATCGGCACATTCAGTGGCTCCTAAAGTATATATCCTGCATAGAATTAACCTACTCTCTTTTCTTAGAGGGGCTTGTATATCCACATGGCAGGTTGTCTAAGATAAATCACTCGCCTGCTATGTGCAACGTATCAGTAAGTGGCTTGATGTAGAGAGCTGAAGCACATCGCTCAATTCTTTAGTATGGCATACCACTTTTAGACAAGCGTCCTCGCTCGCGTATTCCTGCATTCTGAGACATTCCGAATGGCCATATATGTCATGGTTTGTGGTTTTGAGACTTTTCCATAAGGACTGTTTGCTGCTTGTGGCTAATAGTGGTGAATTGGAAATCTACATGTTTCACCCAGGGGAAAAGAAAACCCGAGCCATTAATCGTAAGTGGTAGCAAGATTTAGGTAACTCAGCGTACCTATTGCTAAATTTATTTTGATACGTTGTATCAGGGCTGGAGGGGGCTTGTTCAGGACTGACTATGGACTATCCTACATGCAGTTCATCTCCGACATCAGACAGCTACATTAGTTAGTCCACATGAGTTACATGAGCCACCTCTGCCTTCTCAACTCGCTTTTGCTCAAGAGTAATCAATGTCTCAGGGCGCTCTCTCTGCGTAAGCTCTGGAACGCGGCAAACGATCAGACCTGGGTTCTGTATGAAGATCTGGTCCATATCCTCGAGGGTACGACGAGCGGTTTCGGGATACAGGAAGTAAACGATCGGGAAATAGGAGTAGCAAAAGCCAGCAAATACTGTCCTAAATCAGCTGTTTGTTCAAGAGCGCAGCTAATGGACACCTACAGAGGAAGAAGCCCCAATTGAGATTATCAACGCCAGTCTTGGTGAATTGAGTAACGATGAAGCCACCCATCCAATTAGTGGCCGTGGCCGCTGCAGCTCCCCTTGTGCGCCAGCCAAGAGAGTTGACTTCCGAGTTGAACACCCACGGTACCTTGGCAAAGCTGGTGCCGTAACAGAAGTAGTAAATAAAGAAGAAAGCAGTGGTGACTTCGCCGAGCTACGGAAAACGTTAGCTTTTTGTCTTCAATGTAGGTGTCGCTAGTCCATAACGTACGCTCTCCTTCAGGCCCGGGTTATGCTTAGCACCGAGCAGAGTCATGGATACGATCATATAGCACGAGCCCATTGTTGCTGCTCCATAAAGCATCATCCTAGTAGGTTCATTAGGTCAACGTGGGATTCGTGGGCTAGGTGAAGGCTTACTTTCGGCGACCAAAGCGGTCAATGATGAACAGACAGCAAATGGCGGCAAATAAGTAGATAGTGCCATTGACACCGGTGAGAAGGCGACTTCGGCGTGCGCTGTAGCCAAGAACCTGCTGTAACATGGTGGGAAGGTAGTATCCGAGAGCATTGACTCCTGAGAACTGCTGCATGAATTGTGTACCGCACGAGAGAAGGATCCTGCGAAGGTTTTGAGTCTTGTCACGACACCTGAGCATATCAATCGTGGATACGGTCTCGTTGCGCTCTTGTTGGATTGTCGCTTGGATTGACCTAAACTCAGTCACGACATCGACATCCTCGGTGGTCGCGTTGTTGCCAGCAAGTCGTGCTATGACACCAAGAGCCTCATCGTGTCGGTCCTTGAGCATCAGCCATCTCGGTGAGTCGGGGACAAACAACAGCGCAACGGCGATGACGCATGGGAATAGGAGCTGAAAGCCGAGGGGGAAACGCCACTGAATCGGGCCGCTCCGGACACCGAGGGCGTAGTTCATCCAATTAGCGAGACAAAAGGCGGCGGTGTTGCAAAGAGACTGCACGACAACGAGTTTGCCTCGAACGCGAGGCTTAGAGCATTCGGCCTGATAGACGGGACAGGTTGACGAGGTGATGCCTGCGAGCCAAGGTATGAGATTGTGATTCAACTTGGGTGAGGAAGATGGACGTTGGAGACATACCCATACCAAATACGTTGATGACGCGACCCACTATCATCTGAGGAAGATGCCACGACACAATCTGTAGGATAGCGCCAATGAGGTTGCTCAATAGACCAACCCAAATGGTTTTCTTGCGCCCCAACTTGTCACCGCAGATAAAGGCAAAAATGGCCCCAAAAAAGGCGCCCAGCTGTAATGCTGTTGAGTATTTTCACTTGGTCAAAGATGGGCTGTCACTCACTGCGAAGCAACTGGAAACAATTCCAGAGATACTCGCGACTTTAGTCTCGGGAAACCAGTACTTGAAGTCGGCTGAGATGAGAACTGATGAGAAAACGCCCTGATATACCGTCGGTGAGTGACTTTCTACACCTGATGAGATATGGGCTAGCTTACCTGGTCGTAACCAAACCATGACATTGAGACTACGTAGATGCGTCAGCATAGAGCTCATCAAAGAGTTAACGAGTGACTGACCAGCATTGACAAGTGTCACACACACCAGAAGTGGCGTGCCCCTGAGGTTAACCAAAGCCATTGAGTATTAGTCTGGTGAAGAGAAAACAGCTTTGACAGGAAGATGATGAGATCAAACGACAAAGGAAGTGATGCCCTGTTGCCATTTATAATAATCACAGGGACGTCTCTATATCAGGCGCTTTTGCTAGTTGCCAGATGTTCGGGTCTGGGGTCTGGGGTCTGATCTGGGGAACCTTGAGCTAATGGGACGTTGTGCGGGGAAATTGATCAGACAACCCATCGGCTGATACACCCTTCGGCGAAGGCTGCGTGAGAGTAGCGAGGGAGGAATTAAATCCGGGGAGCATTAACCCGCTTCGACACGAGCTAGTCTAACATTAGTCTTAGAATGGGCAAGCGGCGGGGATAGGCGGCAGAACGCCTTGTCTCTTTTCTCAGCTAGTTCGCGGGGTAAGGCGGCACGTTGTCAATCAAGGGTCAAACCATAGGGACATCATGATGCGGTGCGATATAATGATACGGGCATTGGTTAGCTCCATATAAACACTATGAACACAGGGTTAAGTTGGTTAAAGCAAGTTATGTAAGATTATATATGATAGCTTGCAATTTATTCTCCCCTTGTGATTGATTGATACTCTTTAGCAAATCCTGTCTAAGATGGTGTCTTCTCCTCCCGCAATGTTCGTTAAAACACACATTTTCCTCACATTATAAGAAAGCGACTGACTGATACTGCCTTATTAGACAATACGTCTTGGTGACTGGTGCTACCGGGTTTATCGGTGCACATGTTGTCGACCAACTTCTGTCGCGTGGTATAAAGGTCCGCGGGGCTACTCGATCATTATCCAAGGGAAAGGCTATGATTGATGCGAGGCCTGAGTTTCGAGAGAAGCTTGGCTTCGTTGAGATTGACGACTTTGAGAATCCGGGAGGGTTCTCGGAGGCCATTCAGGACATTGACGCAGTTATTCATGTGGCAAGTGTACGTGCTATGAAAGGCCCAGATAACATTGTCCAGACTCTGACCTCACCTAGCCTTTCACGTATGACACCAAGGACAATGAGAAGGAGTTGGTTATACCAGCGATCAATGGTGTTGATTCTATCCTGAAAGCAGCGGCTACTTCGCCGAAAGTAAAGCGCGTCGTCATCACGTCTTCCTTTGCATCCGTCCTTGATGCTGGGCGCAAGGCACCGCCGTACTTCACTTACACCGGTGAGGACTGGAACCCTCTATCATACAAAGAGTCAATCGATCCAGGAACTAGCGCTGTAATAGCATACCGTGGATCCAAGAAGTTTGCAGAACTCAAAGCTTGGGAATTTATGGCTGAAGAAAAGCCCTCCTTCGACTTAGTCACCCTTTGCCCGCCTATGACGTTTGGTCCCATACGACATCCTGTTACGAACGTCGACGCCTTGAACGAGTCAAACAAGATGCTCTTTAAGATAGCCTGCGGCGAGGATCCGCTCCCAGTTGCCAGGGTACCATTCTGGATCGACGTTCGCGACCTTGCCAAAGCTCACGTGGAGGCGCTTTTGCGGCCTGGGGCTGGCGGAAAGCGATATATTCCCGCGTCTCCTGAGAGATTTACATACAGCAAGGCTGCCAGCATCATTGGATCGCATTTTCCTTGGGCGGCTAGTAATGTGTCGAAAGAGGTGCAAGTTCCCGATGAGTCTCATGGCGTGGACGGAAAGACGGCTCGTCGGGAATTAGGTCTTGATTACATACCTTTTACAAGAACTGTTGTAGACTTGATCAC